TTTTCGTCAAGACCCTGAACCATCGGTTTGAAGCTGTTCATGTTCCTAGAATGAGCAGATGCCATTGGGCTACATTAACACACGACAGGAACAAATGGAGACATTACTGGTGCCCGCTCGAGCGAATAGATGAGTAATGGGATGTCAAGTGATCAAGTGACACACATATTTTATAGAGGCTCTTGGCTTAAGAGGATGGTCCAGTCACATAAAGTTTAGCGTTAGTGGCCTATCACCTTTCCATCTCTGCTCTGCCCTGGCACAATCCCAATTAGAGCTAGATGCTGCAGTTAGGAATGACTTGCTAAATGTAGGTGACAATTCGTGGGGGGTTGGGTGAGACTCAAGACCTGATACCTGGTGCTTATAAAATGTGCCCAGACATTCCCTACTGGGTCATTATGCAGGGACAGTTCTTATCTGCTATACAGGGAACAGATCTTATCTTCTCTGGTGCCTGTTACCATGCTCGAAAATCCTGGGCATCTGCCTTATTTACCTGACTTAAGCCTCAGTTGCTCTTACTTCCTAACACCCCAAAAGGAGGGTTCCAGTGAGGGAGAAGGATGGATCGGGGGCAAGCTGTAAGTTACCCTAGCATCTACAGGGGACAAGTTGAGCGTCATAAATATAGTAAGTTAAGAGCACAGTCATGGAACAAATTCTGTCATGACCCAAAAAGAAGTAACTGAATAAGGACCCTGCTGGGGTTAGGAAAGACTAACCTGGCATGAGGACTGTAGTCTGGGATATATAGCGAGATGTCCCCAGGAAGAGCCAACCTTAAGCTTAATATGTATCTTTCTGTGTCCATACAAAATGACTAGAACTATTAGTAAGAAATAAATTTAATATGACTGGACACATAATGAGATTTGGAGCTGACCTCTTAACTAGAGCCATTACTGACTGGATTCCACAGGATATCAAAAGATTTTGTGACCTACGAGATGGTCAGACTTCTTCGTCAAGACTCTGAACAATTGGTTTGAGATTCTTCGTGTTCCTAGAATAAGCAGACACCATTGGGCTACACTAGCACGCAACAGGAATGAGTTGAGATGTTACAGGCGCCCGCTCGAGCAAATTGATGAGTAACGGGATGTCAAGTGATCAAGTGAAATTTATTATGGTTGTTTACATGGGTTACTAGCTGAGAAGAGGAGAAAGCAATATACCCTACATGAAATCCTGCCCTTGAATGGATCTCCTAGTAATCTGGAGTGTTGAACCCTCAGATGAGATTTTTTCCTTGAGTTAATCTCCTAGAATTTCCTCAGAGAGATTTTACCTCTGTTTGTTGTTAACACATTGTTCAACCCCACCTATGTGTACCCCCATTCTTTATAATTTCTATATAACAGTGCTGTAAAGAGGGATAAAGGAAAAGAAAGTATTATGCCTTAAGGGGAGAGGTAGAATTATGTTAGGGAGGAGATAAACTGTCTACCAACCAGCCTGCGTCCCATTTTCTCCATTACCCGGGTCCTTCGTCCATATGTTTCCATGGACCAGCACTGAATGTACAGGCTTCATTGAAACTCACAGAAAACTATTTTTAAAAAAATACTAGACAGTTGTAAGGAATGATGAACTCAAGCAATTTGTGGCAACATGGAAGAAACTGGAAAATACCATATTAAGCGAAGTAATCCAGAAGAAGAAGGATAAACACAGGAAACCACTTATATGTAGACAATCAATGTTTTAAGGGGGGGGGCTGATTGTTCAACCTGAGTGTAGGGAGAAGAAAGAAAGAAAGAGTAGAGGGGAGGAAGAGAAGAAAAGATGAGAAGCAATGGGGGCGAGCTCAGGAAGAAGGGGGCGCAGATATAGGAATATAGGAGGAAACCTGAAGGGAAGTTGACGCTGGTGATGGGATTGATGCTACAATGCCTGAAATTTAATTATGAATAACTTCAAACATCACAGTGCTTCAGTTGAAAAATGTGGAAAAGTAGTTACTGTCCTGTCACTGTCCTCCTGTTGTTCATCAATTTGCTCAAATGGGCCTAGTAATGTCTCAATTGTAGATTTGTTTTTACTGTGTTTGGCATATCGAATACGTCCCCGGGGAATTTGTCAGTCTTTGCCGTGTGGGCAAGATACTCTCGGTAGCTTGCCAGGCTCTCCAAGAGGGGCGGAGAAATTGAACTCAGGTCGGCTGTGTTGACCACGTGCAAGGCAAACGCCCTACCTACTGTGCTAAACAAAAAACTGTATTCCAATAATGTTATCAAGAGACAAATTCCAGGAGAGATCAAAAAGAAAAAAATTACTAAAACTGACTAGGAAATCAAAAACAAAACCAGAAACACAAAACCATTTCAATTGATTAAACTTAAACAACACCAAAAGAAATGAAGAATTGAATTCAAGAACCCTGGGAATAGCTTTCTTAGGTACCCAAGTCTTTCTAAGAACTGCTGGGTATAGCCCTGGTGGCTGACGTAACCCTCAGATCTATGAGACAGCATGGCCAAGCTGGGTATTACCAGGACATATCCCTTAACCCTGCTAAGGAGGTCCCAATTTTAAGAAAAAAAGCAAAGGAACTGATGTCAATTCTTTAAATTTTTTATTGAATTATTGCTGAGGTCACATGTTTACAACAGTGCCAACTGCCAGGCACACCCTCCACTTTTTGAATCATCTCTTTGACCTCAGGGGATTGATCCTGACATTTTCTTTGGTTGCTAGGAAATGACTAAGAGAAGGAAATTATTTTCCACATTTTCACAGCTCCTGCCCAGAAATGTCTGTCAAGTTTTAACAACAACAAAAAAACTTGGCTTCGAAGAGGGCAAAGATGTTGGAGAGAATGTGGTAAGCTGGAAGTAACTTCAGAATCCTAGTTGGATCCCCTGACTTTGTCTGCCCCCCCCCACCCAGAATTTCCCTGTTACCCACAGCATGACAGGGTCAAGTGGTACCATATCTCTGTCCAAGCACCAGACTGTCAGGTTCACACTGGTGGCTCAAGAATCCCTGGGAATGTCCCCCAGGGTCCAAGCATTGCTGGAGAGATTTCCCAGCTAGAAAAAAATCTTTTACCAGAAACCCTTTAGATTTGCAGATAAAGTGGAGTGTGTCTGTAAATTAAATTATCCACAAAGTAATGTATCACTCACTCTGACAGTCTGAATCTGTGACTTTACCTTTTGGAAAATATGCTGGTTGCTGAGTAAATCTCTTTCCCTTCCTATCCAGTGTACTGTTTCTCAGTTGATTAGACCCTGAAGGGGTAACTGAAAGAGACTTTGGAATTTAAAGAACAAGTAAAGATTGATTTGTTAATTAAAAAGAAATTTCACACACACACACACACACACACAGGCAAACTTACTTTTAGGTAGTTTATCTGGTTATTTGTACCAAACTTGAAAATTAGAATCAATGACAATTCCTAACAAAATTTAGAAGAATACATTTATTTTCTCATTAATCAAAATCTTTGTCAAATACTTTTTGACAAAATCACATTTATTCATGATTTTAAAAAATGGAAGAAAGAAACACTGGCTTTTCCTATGAAGTCAGCATTATCCTGATAACCAAACCAGAGGAAGATACCACAAGTTATCTACACTACAAGCCAATGAGCCTCTGAACATAGATGAAAATATTCTCAACAAAATAGTAGTAGATGGGATTCAGAAACAATTTGATTATCTACCATTACTAAATTGAAATTTATCCTTGTAATAAAATGAACTATAGTAACAGGATAAATACAAAATGCACGATAGTCTCAGTATACCTAAAAAAGTTTTTGACAAAATCCAACATTTATTCATGATTTTTAAAAAAATCACTTAAATGTGGGTGAATGCAATGGCTGTCAACAGCAATGGATAAATGAAGGAATGGGGTCACAGGCTGGTTGGTAGTCAGTGGCCTTTTATTCAAGTCTCACAGCTTTAGTTATAGACAAATCATGAAGTGTAGGGTCAGGATTACAATGAATAGATGTAAAGTCCTTCCTTCAGAGGAAGTTCTACTAGAAGATTCACTCAAGGACAAAATCTCATCTGGGTGCTCAGAATTCTAGATTCTTGATAGGAGATCTGCCCAAGGGCAGAATTCCATCCGAGGCAATATTGCTTTCTCCTTTCCTTAGCTAAAAATCCATTTAAACAGTCATCTTAAATTTCCTTCTTAATAATATTTCTAGTCATTTTGTATGAACACAGTAAGAGATATATTAAGCTTAAAGATTGGCTCTTTCTGGGGAACATCTCTCTATGTACCCCAGACTATAGTCCTTAGGCCAGGTTAGTCTTTCCTAATCATAACAGGTTCCTTATTCAGTTACTTCTTTTTTGGGTCATGACAGAGTTTGTTCCATGACTGTGCTCTTAACTTATTATACATCTTATGGGACTTAGTCTGACCCTTTTCAATGCCAAGGTAGCATGTGGATTGCCTTGAGTTCATCCAGATCCCTCTCTGGGACCCTCCTTTTTGGGGGTCTTAGGAAGTAAGGACACCTGAGATTTAAATCAAGTAAATATGATGGATCCCCAGGAGTAAATATTATTTGGAGTCAATCTCTCTGTTCAATGAATCAATGACTGTGGCAATCACTCTCAACAAATTCATCAGAAGCACAATATTTGAGTGCCTCCAGATGGGTAAATGTGGAGATTTGGAAAGAACGCTGTGCTCTGGGACAGAATGGAAACTCTATGCTCGTTGTGATTGCCTTGCATATGGCCAACCCCAGTTTGATCCCTGGCATCCCATAGGTCCCCTGAGTACTGCCAGAAGTCATTCCTGAGCACAGAGCCGGGAGTCTCCCCTGAATATCACAAGGTGTGGCCCCAAAATAAAAAAAATAAGTGGGGCAGTCCCCATATCATAGGTATCTTTATATAGCCCTTAAGTGGAACGAAAATATAATTTTGGGAACTCAAAACTCAATTATTCTTTGCTTGAATGTTTTTGTTTTTGTCTTACTGATGCTATGGTATTTTTCAATTTGAAATTTTTATTTTTAGGCCCACTCAAAGGACAAAGCAAGAACACAATATTGTGTGGAAGATGTTGAAGACAATTCCAGATTTAACTGAAAAGATAAATTCTGAGCAATTGAAATCCCTTAGTATGAACATTTTTTCAGAAACCTGGATAAAAGGTAGCACAGGTAATGAATTAATCTGAAAGGTAATTTGGTGAGACAAAGTGCAGATAACTATATTGTATTCTTTTCATTAATACTTGTTATTTTATTTGATATGTTAGAAATTTATTTTGGGAATATTTTATTTTTAAGTGTTAAATAGTCAATAGCATTTAACATTTTAATGCATTTTTGAAGCTAGTGTATAAGCAGTGATATTTATATACATTGATCATGCACCAGATTTTCCCAGCAGGCCCATGAAAACATATTATTGGGTTCAATCTCTTAAGTTTCTATAGGTCTAGTTCTGTGATCATGTTTCCAATATAGTTCCAGGTAATGCTGCCATCATGCGCTGAAAACCACTTGTTGACATAACATTTAATAGCAGTCCAGCATTAGTTTTTATAGTTCTGACACCAAGTGATGAAAATGATTATTTGACTAATACAAGTACTGATCCAGTTACTGAAAAGAAATCTAGAGATACAATTTAGTTTCTTAGTTTCTAGATGCTTTACCAAGCATATGATAAAAATGTTAATTTATAAGACAATTTTTATAAGATATTAACATATCCACTGTCATATATCCTTACATCAGAACTACAACATTATCTTTTAATTTGGGGGGCCCTATTTAAAAATGTATTTAATTATTTTTGTGTCATAAATATCCCTCTTTTATTTCTGGCAGTAATGAAAGAAAATATTCTCTCTCAACACGTAAGAACCCCAAGGCACAAAATGTCATCAGATGGTTTGATTGCAATTGAATTTCAAACAAACTTTATCTTTATGATTAACTTCATTCTTTTCCCATTATGCCAGTTTCTATTTATTAAAAATGTGTTATAGTTTAGGTGATAGAATTATAAGGGTGTTTGAGTTTCTGGTACTGATGTACAAAGATACCACTTGTCCCATCTGACCAACAGCCCATAAGCCTTCCATCTCAATCCCATGTCCACTCTGATCCACTCTTCCTTCCCTCTCACACCCCATTATGTGTTTTTGACACTTATGTTTTTAGTGTATGCTTATGCCTCTCTTGGTACCATTCAATGTATTCTATTGGTTTTATAAAGTAGTATATTGGGATCATTGTATTTCAAAACTAACTGAGATTCTGGAGAATGTTGTTTGCAAATGATAATATATTTTTTTAAAGAATTTCTACTCAATCATTCTTTCTTTCTTATTTATTTATTTAATTATTTATTTTGCTTTCTGGGTCATACCCGGTGATGCACAGGGGTTACTCCTGGCTGTGCACTCAGGAATTACTCTTGGTGGTGCTTGGGGGACCATACGGGTTGCTGGGAATCAAATCTGAGTAGGCTGAGAACAAGGCAAATGCCCTTCCGCTGTGCAGTCACTCCAGCCCCTCAATTATTCTCTCTTACAACAAGTTTTATTCAACTTGGTGCCATGAAATGAAAATTAAATCTTGAATTTCTATTATACAGGGATTCCAACTCAGGGCCTTGCACATACAAGATATGTGCCACTACTTGAACCACATTCCTGGCCAGAAATAATGATTTTGAAAACGATATAAGAACAAACATTGAATATTAGTTTGCTATTACCTTGAAGACAGCAGTTAAAGATTTATTTGCTTTCTCATAAATCTCTAAAAACATACTTATTGTGAAAAATATATAGAAACAGCATAAATGCCCTTTAGTGGAAGACAGACTACATAGTCTGTGATGTAGCTATTCCATAGACTTCTGCCATGGATGAAATGTAGGAGACAAGTTGGAGAGAAATTATAGGAGGTAATTGTACCTGCCTTGCATGCAGCCAACTAGGCTTTTTTTTTCTTTTTGGGTCACACCCTGTGATGCATAGGGGTTACTCCTGGCTCATGCACTCAGGAATTACTCCAGGCAGTGCTCCATGGGCCTGGGTGCCGAGGATTGAACCAAGGTTGGCCATGTGCAAGGCAAATGCCCTCCCCGCTGTGCTATCACTCCAGCCCCCCAACTAGGCTTTGATACCTAGAACCACATATGATTCCCTGAGGACTTCTAGGCATTATCCCTGAACATAGAACCAGAAATATGGATGGAGCGATAGTACACTGGTAGGGCTTTTGCCTTGCATGCAGCTGAGGTGAGTATCCCATATGGCTGATCCTTGATATTCCACATGGTACCTGGAGCACCACCAGGAGTAATTCCTGAGTGCAGAGCCAGAAGTAATGCCTGAACATCACCATGTATGACCCAAAAAGCAAAACAAACAAAACCAGGAATGCTATGAGCACTGCCGCTTGTGTCCTGAAACAAACAAAAAATAAAAGGTGTATCTATACATTTATACATATTCACAAACTTATTACAATTGTAGGAAGTAATTAATATGCACACATAAATGCAAAAGCTTTTTAGAAATATTAAGTAAAACAATAATTACAGATTATGTTCACAATGCTTTCCTGTATATGAAATATTTATGAAAAATATGAAATCTCATAAGTATATAGAACACATAATGAAATATAAATAGGAATAGACCTAGGCAGGTGTTTCAAAATGTATATTCTAAAAATCCTCGATTTAAGGGAGAGAAATTGAGAGGAACTCAAGTAAAACAATTAACTTTCTTCTATATACATTTGTGACAAAATGTTCATACATAGTGTACATTCATTCATGAGTTTGTAATTATGCATGTGATTTTTAAAAGGTTATGGAACTGCAATTAGAAGCAAGCATTTTATTTTGTTTTCTTAATAACTCTGGTGATTAACTATTAAAATATGAACTTTCACTCCCTGACAAATATCAACCTCAATTTAATCATTTCTATTAAAGAAGGCATTCCAACTCACATTGCAATGAAGCATAGTTCTGAACACTTGAAAAAAATACCAAAGCCTGTGTTTATATCTACCTGTGTCAAAATCCTTCTCTTGAGTTTTTAAGACATCTAATTCTGACAGCTTAGATCGGTTTCACTATCAAAGCAGTCAACTCATTAAATATCTGACCTTTGTAAATCTCTTTGTTCATCCAACTTAAAAAACAAGCTCAACCAGGTGTCTTTCTCTCTCCCTTTTCTTTATGCATGCTTGACTTCCCCTCCCTCTGCTGTTATTTAAAGTATTCCCCCTAGAAGTCCCTCATCACCAGACTGCTGACTTTCAATCTGCTGTTGAGACTTTGATTTTTCTCGCCTGCAATTCCACACAGCTGTTTGTACCGTCTGGTCTCTTTCTGGTCACAAGTTCCTTGGAACTTCATTATTTAAAGAAGCTTCCTAATAAGTCTCTTACTCAGTTTTCTGAAAAGAAAACAAACAAACAAACAAAAACAAACCCAGAACATTAATAGGTATAACAATATTACTATTATAAGTATAGAAATACCATGCGAATATATTTTTTTCTGTGAAAATGGTACTAACACAGAATTACGATATATAAAGATAAACTTTAATTATATATAAAGATAATATATTATATATAATAATTATATATTAATTTTATATTGTATATAAATTTATGTACCTATTTATGTGCTAAATATTATATATAATATATAATATATTATCATTGCTGTATATAATTACTGTATATCTGTAATATATACTGCACTATTATTTATGTACTATGTATTAATATATTACCTTATTTATACACTACATGTCGGATAACAATTGATTTGTCCTTTCTCTCTTGCCAAAAGGAGCTTAGGTTTATCAGGTTACACCCATTACGGTGCTCCCGAGTCACTCCCATTCCTTCATTTATTTGTAACCACTTCTCTATGCTCTCTTCCCCAACCAGTTAATCAGCTTTTCCCTCTAATCAGAATCTGTTAATTTGTAAGGTCAGATCCTTCTAGGACACTGAACTTGTATTGTAAGTTAATATTGCCTTTCTCCTCTCCTTATGTCTTTTGAATAGTTTACTTTAAAGCAATGTCCTTTTTGTATAGATACAGGAAGACAGTTAATATTGTGCTTTGTAGTTTAGGATTTAATTGGCTTTGAATATTATTCACTCTCGGGCATCTGCTTTCTTGACTTAAGTCTCAGTTGCCCTTAGTTCCTAACACCCCAAAAGCAGGGTCCCGATAAAGGACTGAATGGACCCAGGGCAAGCTGTGAGCTACCCTGGCATCAAAATGGACCAGGCCAAAGTGCCACGATTCTTAACTATAAGTTGAGAGCTTGATCGTAGACAAGTGCTGTCATGATCTAAAAGTAACGACAAGACTAGGACCCTGCTAGGGAGAGAAAAGACTATCTGGCCTGAGCACTGTAGTCTGAGATTGAGATGGCCCTAGGAGAGCAATTCTATAAGCTTAATATATTTCTACTGTATCCATACAAAATGATTAATATTATGAATGCTTATATGTTTGTTGGACAAAGAGAGAAGAAACACACCCAGGGGATTCCGTTCTAGGGCGGGTCGTCCTGCTGAGAGAGTATCTGCCCTAGAAGCGGCTTTCTCCGAGGGAAAGAACTTTACCCCTGTTGATTGTGACGACACCTATGTGTAATTGTTACCCCAACTCCTCATGGTTTTGGGATTTAACGAGACTGTAAGAGTGGGTTGCCTATCTGCCTTACTATTGATCTGGTGTTGGGAAAGGTTTTCCCTCTTTTTTACTTGTATCACCTTTGCTGTTTTATTTTAAGTTCTCTGAGTTTTAGAGTATCTTTCTCTTAGCATTTCTTCATTTTATTTAACTCCTAACATTTGTGGTTATATCTCCAACACACTACATCTTTTCATTTAATAATTTTGTATATTTATTTTTAATGCTAAAAGTGTTCTAATAATCATTTAAAAAAACATTCCCTTAACATGCCCAACTTTACTTTCTGTTGTGCCTTAAATTTCACTTATGTATTATAAAACCAAATGAGCTAACTCTCATGAAAATAAAGCGGAATGTAGTTAAATCTTTCTTGAGATACATCTCATGAAAAATGTAGTATACATTTTTCATATACAAATGTAGTATACATTTTTCATATACAAATCACCATAATCTTAAA